AATTTGTGAAACTTTTTATGCGGACTGTTTTGTTTGAAGAAATTTGAATAATTTGGTAAAAGGTCTGCGGTCTGCTTGCCTTGTATTTCTTTTAGCTTGCATCACTTCCATTATCAATCGACATACTTCAGTTTCAATTTAATGTGCGTGATTGCACACAAGAAATTATATGAGTGGGTTGAGAAATTGATGGGTTTGAATTGGATGAGCAGATAACATAACAAATCTGCAGTATCAAACTACCTTACACGTAGTTATTGATTAAAGTTTCGTTAAAAAAATGAAACGAACGCCAAGTTGTTTTAATTAGTAAACGCTACACAAGTTTTGAGTAAAAAAAGCATAGCTTGAAGAAGCCTTCAATTGTATACAAAGTTCTCAATAAGAAACCCAATTGATAATTATACAAGCAATGCTTGTATTTTTGCCAGTCAAATTTTTCGATAAAAATAGCAGAATTCATAACAAAAGGTTTTTCTTTGCATTATTTGAGCGAGCTGTGCATAAATGCTGAATTAAAACACATTCAATGATGCTTGGTGATTACTATTGAAGAACGCTATATCTTTAAGGTCTCAATCGCAAAGTGTTTGCCTATAATACCGAGAAGGTTGTCTTGATCTCCCTGTCGACAGTTTTTTTTCCAGACGGATTTTTCTCGGCTGGTTTTTTTGTGCTTTCTTCAATTTTGTACATTGTAGATTTTGAGATTAAAAGTTGAATTTTGTACATTTAAAAGATTTTGAACACTTTGAAAGAAGTTAATCATTTCTTTTCATGGAAAGCCTCTAGAAAATGGAAGAATCTGGCTGCAATGAAACATCATGTTTATTTTCCAAGTTTTTGATCAGGATTATATTAACTCTACGAAATGCTGATGTAAGACTACAAACTGTGATTGCTCATCAGTGACGCAGCTAGTTAAGTCAACAGAAATTTGACATCCTTAAATCGAACAATGCTTTTTGCTGATATAAACATCTGGCATGTATTGGGACGAAAACTGACACGCTTGATTCGTTGTCAAATTTTGTTCTTTGCATGATCACTGGGTGGTCATATAAATTGTCTCTTTCAGAAAAAATTGTATGTACACTGAGTGATTCAGATTCGGATGTTTAAAGTAGCCGTTGATTATGAACTCTTAATGTTGTGCAAGTATTGTGTAGAATGCTAGCATTATAAATAATCAAACAAGACTACTTTTGTTTCCGTATTTTTAATGGTGTTTCTTTGACAACTTTTTTGTAAGCTGTGAGAACCTAATTTGAGTAGAACGGCGCTGATTTAAATTATCCGGACAATTTGAACAAAATTGTAATTTTTAACGCGTTTTCTCAAATTGGGTTTAGATGAGACAAAAATGAAAAGAACCAAAGATGAGGTTATGCTCTTCTAAAACTTTGTTGGGCTATATAGGAGTTATATAAGAGCTACTATATATAATTTGTTCATCAATTGACTCATTAGATCTAGCGCAATTTTTAATTGACCATAAAAAGTCAAAATGACCCATATTCGGGATAAAGTTTTGGTTCCGAATGCAAAATAAACTGGATCATAATAATTCTTAAAAATTTTTGAGCAAGAATTTTTTGACAAAAAATAACCCAATTTGAGAAAAACGTTATTGAAAATTTAAGTTTTGTTCATTGTGTCCGGATAACTTAACTCAGCACTCTACTATTTCCATAAGTTTAAAACAATTAAGAATAATTTAAAATCAAAATCAAATCTTTAGCCCGAATGTTTTTGCAGTGACTGTTGGAAAAGGCGTTTTTTTTTTAAGTTGTGCGGCTAATTTTTGAACTGTTTTTTAAAAAAGAAAATCGACTGCATTCTATATAGTTTTCTAATGATAATTTCGGACGGATCGGTCTGTGCTACTGGCGCTGCTGGTGACTGTCCTTGGTTTTTCAAATTCTACAACTAAAAGCAGATGGCCTATTTCTAAGTAAACGTAATTGTTCCGACTTTCGTAACGAAAGTAACGGAATATTTGTGCTCGGGTTGGTTTTTTTTCTTCAGACAAATTTCGACTTTTTAACTAGCCTCGTTTGACGGGACTTTTTATATCATTCAAAAAGTATTGTTGTCCTGAGCTCAAATTTGAAAAGCTATTTCAACTGTGATTTCTTTTCGTAAAGTTATGGGGGTTTAAAAATTGCCATTTTGGCCAATTTGGGACAATTAACGCGCGATATATTTCGCGCTATTAACGCGTAAGCGGAGATTTAATCCGTCATAAAATTGTTCCAAATTGGTTGAAGGAAGTTTATTTGCCATGTTTGATTTGTTACTGGGAGCGAAATTTATCACTTCACTTAATAAGGGGTGTGGGGGATGATTTTCACAAAAAAATCTCAAATTAAAAATAAAATTTCATTTTTTATAACATTTAATTTTTTAATGTTATTACTGCTTCATAGACTGCTCTGTAATTGAGGCAGGCTAGTTGGTAATTTTTTTTTCAAATTGATTGCTGATGCGTCATTATTGGCGTGCATCACTTAACAAATTTTGTTGACTCAAAGTTTTACTCATTCAGTTTTTCCCAGTAGCGTTATCGGTCATTTTTTGCTTGTGTATAGGAAATGCAACTTCGCCTCTGTGTCCACTAAATGTTTTCTTTACAAATTCAAGACGTGTTCTGTGCATTCAGCGCAGTGGTAACCCCCATTCTTGAGACGACAAATCACAGAAATTCGATATCAGGCGGTACATGTTTTTTTTGTCTAAACCGTAAATTTTCTAAGTTTTCGTGTCTGCTTATTTTTGTCGGCTTAGGTCCCGCAGAAACGTTTAATTTCTTTTTAGCATTTTGAAAGCTCTTTGTAAAGTTTTCAATAAATTTGTTTCAGGATTTTTTGTCCTAGTTTGCAATTGAAAAAAAACTTTGTCTTATTATTTGCTGGTAATCATCTTCATACATTGTTGTGTCGCAAAAGATGGTAAGCTGCGTTTTGCCACTGTGTAAAGTTTCTAATGATGCTGGTAATTTTGCGCTAGATTTCTTGGGCTTCTTTTGCAATTTTTCTTACAAAAACGATTTTTGGAATTTTTTCCTTGTTTTTGATTTTGTTCTTTTTTAATCTATTATATATTTAAATGTGGGCTCCACTATCTCGCCTTGTTTGAGCTGTTTCAATGTTTTATTTTTGCATGTTTAACAAAAGAGTTTTTCACGTTTAAGCTATATCGTATATTGCAATGGCTAAGATTTTTTTTTCGATTTTCCAGTTTGCATTCAGTGTTTATTTCACCAAGTATGAAATTAGCAACCAAATAGTGGGATGCTGATAGGGTTTCCTCAGGTGTTGCAATTTTGGCCTCCATATTTGAATAACCAAATCCTTCTAGCTTACGAGATACGGCAATTTTCAAGACTTTTCAAAAACTTCTAGAAAATTTAGTTTTAAAAAATTTCTTAAAATCTGAAATTCTTTGCTGTGTATTTGAGTGCTGTGAGTGTACTCTCAGGGGTTGCGAATCGTGCCTCCAAATATCATTTCTCATGTTCTTGTAGTTTTCGAGATATGACGTTTTTTATGATTTTTTCAAAAAAAACTTAGGTTCCTGTAGTTGCAAATTGTGAAGGTCCCTCAGGGGCTGCGAGTTTTGCCTCCAAATTTGACAGCTCAAATCCTTGTACTGATCGAGATATGATGTTTTTTCAGAAAACTTAAATTACAACTCCTGTTATTTGAAATTGTTAGCTCTGTAGTTAGGGGCTCTCGGAGTACTCTCAGGGGTTGCGAATCTTGCCATCAAATATAACTGCCCACATCCTGGTAGTAATTCTCAACGCTGTAATTGGGTACTTTAAGAGTACTCTCAGGAGTTGCACTTCTTGCGTCCAAATGCGACTGCTCAATTACTTTAAGTTTCCGAGATGAGACGTTTCTTAGTTTATTTAAAGTTCATGTATAAAATTTCACTAAATGTTATGGTTTTTCAAAATTTGAATTTAAAAAACTTGAATATAAAAATTTTTTGCAAAATTTGAAATTACCAACCACCCTGTAATTGGGTGCTGTCAGAGTACACTCAAAGGGTGCAGATCTTACTTTCAATATCTGTGGTTTTTTATATGAGTTTTTAAAAATTCGAAGCACCGGAGGTGCGTTACACGCTAGTTTGATTTATATCATAGTCATTCATTTTTGATCGCAAGTGGTGCGAAGCTCTTCTTCGCCTGTGTAAAAATAGTTTTTACTGTTTCAGAATAAGATTGCGATTGCTCATTAGCGGTGCTGCTAGTAAAAGTCAACAGCAATTGTAACCCTTCAAAATGAACAGATTTTGAATTCAAATAGACTAGCTTCGATTTTGTCCGATTTCTTTTGTAAGCGTCATCAAAAGCAGTCTATTCGTTACAACAAATCGGATTTTTCAAACTGATTGATTCAGATTCGGATACTGTACTTAAAATATCCGATAATTTTTTTTTTGAAATTGTGCAAGACTTGTGAACACCTTGTTTTATTTTATCAACCTAGAATACGGACGCTCCAGTCTTTCGTATGTGTTTTTACTTCCGAAAATTTTGGCGGCACTGATGTGAGTTGTAAGAATGTTTCAAATTAAGACCAAACTAAAATCAAATCTCAAACCTGAAAGGTGCAAAACTGCTTGAAACAGGGTTTTGACATCTCCGATAGCCTCACGTAGCAAAGTTTCAAAATAGAGGCTACTTTCATAAAATCCTAGAAAAACCGAATATTATAATCAATATGACTCATTCGAAAAACAACGCAAGTTTTCAATATTTCATTTTAGAAATCCAGCTAAAATTTCTTCATAACAGAAATAGCTCGGAATTTCCAAAGTTTTGTAATTAGCGGAATAGTAGCTTGGCTATTTTTAATAATAGAGATTAGCGTGGTTTCAATTAGTTGTATCAAGGCCCTGCTTTGAATGTTTTTTTGAATGGCTCTGTGTCAGAATATGAAGAATGAAAAAGAGAATGAGTAATTCTTCAAATATTTTCATTTTCAGAGCAATATGGAAGAAAGTCATTACGAAGCTCTGTGGGAAGACAGGGAGGTGAAGTTTGACCTCGGCAAGAACCATCTGCGACCCCGTGCTGGCGAAATTGTGATTGACAGACTGGAGGCAATCGAAGACACGAAAGGAAACAACGGAGCTCGAGGCCGACTTATAATCACCAACTTACGACTCATTTGGCATTCGGTTCAGTTCCCGAAAATCAACCTATCTGTCGGTCTAAACACAGTTATAAACATCACAAAGAAACTGGCATCGTCTAAATTGAGGGGCGGCGAAACGGAAGCTCTTTATCTGTTGACGAAATTTAACAGCACAAAATTTGAGTTCATTTTCACAAATCTTATCCCAGGAAGTCCAAAGTTGTATACCACTGTGTACAGTGTTCACAGAGCATACGAGACTACAAAATTGTATCGAGAATTGAAATTACGAAGTGCAATCTTGGACGGAAAAGATCTGATGTTGCTTCCTTTGGAGCAGATGTTCGAACGAGTAGACGGAGTCTGGAACCTCTCGAACGAACAAGGCAATCTAGGCCTGATGTATATAACGAACGTCAGAGTTGTATGGCACGCCACCCCCAAAACTAATTTCAACGTCTCCGTTCCCTGGGTGCAAATAAAGAACCTCAAAGTGCGCAATTCACGTTTCGGACCCGCACTTGTGATAGAGTCTTCGAGAAGCAGCGGAGGTTACGTGTTGGGATTCAAAATAGACCCCGAGGATAAATTGGGCGACGTTTTGAAAATGTTACTTGCGTATTATGAGACTTATTACAAGAAACCACAGCTGGGAGTGGAATTTGTAGTCGAGTCAGGGGGTCTGAATGCGGGGGAGGAGTCGAAGGCACTGGAGAATCTTGTGGATGATGTTGAGATCGAAACGGGACACCAGGATACGTTGGCCGCCTACTACAGTGCAGCGGGTGGGGGCGACGAAGGGGAGAAACGAGAGATAGTGTTCTCGGAGACACTGGGGTTGGCGGTGGAGAAACCGAAGGAGGGGTTCACTATTGAGAGTCTGTGGCAAATTAACTGACGTCATGTCTAAACTAAACTAGACTGTATCAAATAATGATAAAATGTAATTATTTTGTCTATATGTACATAAATTGATTGTCATTACATCGCATTGTATGTTAAGTTTATACAAGTTTGGCATAATAGTTCTGGTAAAATTCTAAAGCAACTTTTGTTATCGTCGTTTTCTTAACCCAATTTGAGAAAAACGCATTTAAATTTTCAAGTTTCGTTCATTTTGTCCGGATAATTTAAATCAGCGCTGTATGTATGAGTCATTATCAACAAACCGATAGTTATAGTTTCAAGTATTTGCAAGTCATCGCCTACATCAACTTTTATAGGATTAGGTGTAGGAGCTCTATAAATGATATGAACGCTTGCTTTTTTTGGTTTCTGAAGCTAATTATCTGAAGGCGTGCCGAAAGCCGATTGATCTTCAAGTGACGTATGATAAATGAACGAAAACGGAGTTATGTACTTCAACTAACAATTACCATCAATTAACATTACTTCGTGACTTGAAATGTTCAAAATTAGACCATGACGACATTAACTTCGACTTCTTTCACTTTACAGTGCAGAGATAGTTCATTATACAAACTCAAATTGTAGCTTCAGTCGAATCAGCTGAAACAATATCGCTGTACTGTTTTGTATGGTGACTTCTGTTAGCGAGAGCTCATTAACACCCCAAGATAATTTGAACGAGATCTTGGAATACATTATAGCTCATCCAGACCAAGTATCGACCTTAATACTGACTAATGTCCACTCAAAAGACAACATGTTGGTCATCAAGATGGAACACACGTCTCCTCTCGAAAAGTAAGTTTAATATAACATTTGATATATCAATATTTAAATGAAAAGTTAAAAGCGTTGAAGGCAAAATGTACTAAACAGCCCAAAATCAATATTTCTACAATTGGCGAAGTTTGAACTGAAAGTTTGTGAATTGAGTCTGATTAGCCAATCAAAACCAAGCAACATGATCATGCAATGCAATTAACGTTTTCAGTAGATAATTATGTTGCCAACGATTGACAACTTGTTCCGTTATGGAAATGTTAAAAAATTATTTGATTCAAATTTCCTGTTCGTATTCAATTTAATTGCTACTAGCCAAAAACCTAAAAAATTATTTCCTTTTTTTTCTGAGAATTGGTTAAAGCTATTCAAATTATTCTAGTTAATGTTGAGTTTTTGCAAATCAAAATAATTTCAAAATAGTTCTTCGGGTCATTTAGAGCATAAGGCCCCAAAACGCCTTAAAGAATAATTCACCAAAATTTATTATTATTTGTTATTATCGTAACCTCTGATGAAATTGAATTTGTTTTAGATTGTTTATGGGATCTACTTAACAATCCAAACCCCCACCCCCCTTGGTATCTACTCAAGAATCTCCAACCGGGGAGGGTTCTCATGCTTGAAGGACCGAATGCTTGAAAAATTTCAACCAATCAAAATCGCTAAGCGTTTCTATTGGCTAAATGCCTTTCTCACAATATCGAAGTCATTATTAACAGAAAATGTATTAAATCAGTGGAAAATAATCAAAAATATTACAAATTGCGGGTTACAACCGCATTACTATTCAGATAATCATCAAGATTAATGAGTTCAAAATCATAAGCGTTTTCAGTCTTGAAACTCATCTGCTTATTATCTAATCGGTCAATATTAACACTAATGGCCTGGTTTTATTTTCTGACTTTGAGATTTTCGCGATTTATTTTTAGATTTTGAATACTCAACTCTGATTGGCTGAAAGTAAGCTAAAATTAATTTCAAGCATTCGGTCCTTCAAGCATGAGGGACGCCACCTCTCCAACCCTATAAATAAATACTAAATTAGCGCTTGAGCTTTTTATTGAGCAGTATAATTTTGCTGCATTCTGATTTTTTGGTCGCAAATTCGACTAACATAGCTACTTAACAGTCTCTTCTCTACCTTTTTGAAAGGTTAGCATTGTTAAGTAGATCCGAAATATGTCTTTTTGCGTAAAAGTTCAACTTGTTTTTAATTAAAGGTTCACCGAGGAAGTCTTCAAAACTGAGCTGCAATTTTTCAAAACACGACCAGTCACGCTGACAATGATTGAACCGAGCAAAAATGAAGCTGTCATCGCAGAAATTGTACCGAAGATTTTTTTGAATGGCGCGGGTCTAGCGACTAATCAATCTGTTTCGTTTTGCATATCTATTGTTAATAAATCAGCACCCTCAGGTTTTCTAGAAAACAAAAATGTTGTTGTCTCATTATTCTTAAAAGATCCGAATGGAGCAATTTCATACAGAAAAGACTTCAAAACTACATTCAGCAATGAACTGGAGGAAAATGAAAAAGGAATTTTGGATTTCATCTCAAAAGACGAGTTTCCGAATTACATATCAGCAGATGATGTGACGCTTTTTGGTGTTATGGTTCAGCTTGCAACACCAGTGGATCCATGATAATTGATCGTCTTTTTGTAATTCATAATTTAGATTGTGTAGAGTAATTTTTTCCTAAAAAATGAATGGAAAAGTTAGCAAAAAAACCTGCAATTCAAATTATGAAATCCACACTTTCATTTTTGATTCAATTAGCTGAGCAGGGGGCTGTATATATTAGGCGAAAACTATATATGACGAAAATAAAAGTGTTACGCTTAAGCAAATATTTTGATAATAAAAGTGAATATTATAGCAGAAATCCCCCTAATTTTCCAGACGACCTTGACAAGAAGCGGTTAAAGACCACAAAGGCGTTTATGGTTCAAGGTCGCCTGTGGGCGCGCGTCGCCGCTTCGCGGCGATAACCGACTCTAATTTTTGTAAAGAGTCCTACCCTCTGTTGGCAAGCTCGCAACACGTTGGCGCGACTGGAGTGGCCACTATTTTACCGTTGATTTGCTGTTTGAATCATATTACGTGTATTTTTTATGTAGCAAAGGAATGACCTAAGTAATCACATACATTTTTTGCTAAAATGTACACATCAAAATTTTCGCCTAAGTTTAACATTTTTATTTTCGCCTAAAATAGTCCCCCCCCCCCGCTGAGCAGGGACATAGTGACATTTACAGCTTATTTGGATCAACCGTACAATCCCCCCTTAAGTGATCTACCTTAGAAAACACTTACCAAGCTTGTATTGATGCAATAATTCTGTATAAAATAAACATTTCATACAAACGCGAGAATACAATTGGTTTTTACATTTTTATGCGGTATTGTGTTTGTATGATATTAATTACACAAATTAATATTTGAATTATATTTTCTTTAAAAATAGCTTAAATAATGAACAGATCTAGGCTAAACTCAAAGTTAGCTTATGAAAATATTATATTTTCTCCTCCCTAAATCGATTAAATGGGGGATTGTACGGTTGATCCGCTTAATCATTACGAGGCCAAACTGTGTGTTTTGTGCATTGTAAGCGGATTCCGCAACAAGGACGCTCCCTTTGTTCTTCTTTTGTTCTTTCTTTTTCTTTGATGGTTCCGACAAGTTTAACATGTTTAAAGACTTGTCTCTGGATTCCAGGAACATACAGACACAAAATTGTTCGCATAGCCAGTGCACACTTTGGCCTCGTAATGTTTTGACGAGTATGCGAGTCAGAAGTTAAGCTATTTTAGAAGTATAGTCAAAATCAGTCAAAACGTTACAAAATCTAAACTCGGAAGGAAAAATTAAAAACCGAAATGATGAATCAGTATCTCAAATGGCCGAATGGTATTTATAGATTATTGCTAAACTTTAGATTTTATGCTTGCAGAAACCAAACTCAGAAGGATAGCTTACTTTTTGATTAAGAAGAGAAGTCATTCAGTGCATAAATATGCAACAGAAATTTGACCCCACCATTTGATATACTTTCAGTTATTGACAAGTCGAAAACTCTTTGCTACCTACCGCTTCAGCATTAGATGAGTTTTTATAGCCACTAATCAATCAAATTGGCAGGGGTTTGTCAATCTCATGAGAAAAAAGATAACCCATCCTTAAAAATTTAAAAGAAAAAAGTTCGAAGGACACATGGGCTAGAGTTTTAAAGGCAAAAGCTCTATAGACCTCGATGAAATGCAAAATTTTGAAAATGTTTATGAACTAGTTTTTCTACTGAGATGGAAAATTTGTTAAGAGACAGAAAGTTCAAAACTGTCTCTGGCCGGTTGTACGAATCTATGTAGTTTCTTGAAATGAAGGAGTTTTCTAGAAAATGTTTGAGGCTTTGAACTGCAAATGCAGATGGTTTTGTGATTCTTCTCGGCATATTTTAAAACTAGATTCATAACAGCAACCATAACATTGACACTCCTGTGCATCTAGCATATTGGTCTCACAGTGCTTAGGGTATTTTTCGAATTTTGCTGGAAAATTTTCGCACAACTAGAAAATGACCCGTCGAAAATTTACCACGATTTAGCCTGGCTTTCTTGCACTCAAATAAACTGTTTTCATTATCCGAGTTTAATCCTTTGACAACGGAATTATACTTATCAGGGTGCAATTTTGAACACAAGGGACGTCGGTGTATCTACTATTATGCAGCTCGACTAGCATAAAGCTTTCAAAAAAAGGACTGGGTTGACTAGTGTAAAAATGAAACCTAAGACTCAATTAATATTCGAACATATTTTTCTAGTTTTTTGCTTTTTGAAAGAAAAGAAAAAAACAGGATTAAAAATTGGGCTAAATTTTTTGTAGCTAATAGATTAATAGATTTATGTAGAAAAAAATGGAATTTTCAGAGCTTTTCAATGCACTTTGAACTAATAGTCCGCAACACAAAGTTCAGGATAAAAAGTATTGGAAAAAGTGGCGGGATTCGGGCGGCAGAAAAAGATGAAAGATGGATCATTTGAAAGAAAAAATCAAAAAACGTTAGCTAAAGCTGATAGAGTTGTTCCCACATGCATTTAGTATTGTTGTATCTAAGAGTAATCACAAAATGAAACCGACTGAAAGACGCTAGATCAAATACCTTCTCTCTAAGCTTTAATTGAATTTGTCGTTTTAAAGTTGAATTTGCATTTTAATGTGGTTTTTCGGTGCTTTAACTTTTGTTTGGTGTTTTTGTTTGTGTCCAAGTAAAACAGGTTTTTTAATTTGGCATTGTTGAAATGATGTTTTTTTTGTTGGCTCTTTGAACCGGTTATTTTTTTTCGAAGACAAAAACGGAAAACAATTATTTGACGTGGTTTTTAGTACCCCATTTTTCCACATTGTTTTGCAACTAATAAGTTATATCTCTTATAGTAGTGTGAAAACAAAATTGTCATGTACCAAGGCTTACCATATTTTGAGCACGTCTGAGCATCCAACCCCGAGATTGGCTTGTAAAACAATTAAACCCCTCTGTTAAGCTGGCCTTTGTTGCAAAAGCAAACTTTCGACAACTATCTCGATCTGCGGGTCTGGAAACGCCTTCAACGTGCTCTTTTGCTCTTTCAACGCAGTGGAATTTAGAAGACTGTTCTTACTGTTGATGAGAACAACTCTCGTTTTGTTCAATTCCAAAAGAAATAATCCAAAATCATCAAAAACTGAATTTCTACAAAAATAATTAGTTCGTTTAAGGTATTTTAGCTACAAGTAGGCTGTAAAATTTCCCAGCCTATTTTATCGATCAAAAAATGAGATTCAAAACGTGGCATTTCATTCTAGTATAATCAATAAGTGCATTGATAATTGACGCTCTTTTTTTGCTTTTTTTTTGCTTTTTACTCATGCAATAGATGAATAATATTGAAACTGGGTACTAGATTTTTTACCTATAAATGATTTTGCTCACACGAAAAATGAAACTAGAATGACTGAAATTGTTTTTGGCATGCAGAGCAGCCATAACTATATTTAACTAACCAAATGTATTTCCTGGAGTTTTTCTTAAGAGCTCTACCTAATAGAACTGAAATGGCAAAAAACATTCAGAAGTTTGAAAAAATCAATTACTCATATGTTTAATTTTTGTCCTAAATTTGTCATTTCACTTGATATATGCTATAATTGATTAGGCGTTTCAATAGATTTTTGCAATTTTTCAACTCAATATTTGCCGTAATTAAACTTCCATGTTTTTTGCTTTTATGTTGTTTCATATTAGTTTTGCACCCTAGTTGTCGTTAATTTAATTTTATACAATTCAAAAAGTTTTCAAATGTTTGAAAAAAAGTGAATAAATTTGCGTTGACCCTTTTCTGTCTGAAAATCGTTAGTGTTACGGGAAAGATACAAATTTTAAAAAATCTTATAACAAAATATGACGTTTGTTTTAAATTTTTTGAACAATAAAATTTTCGTCTGCTGTTGAAGTTATTTTGTTTTACCCTTTTGCATAAATGTTTTAAAAAATAACAACTGATTTCGCAATTTTCCCTAGTTTGATAGAACTTTTGTGAATAGTTTTTTTTTGTGGTTACAACTTTGCATTTTCATAGACTTTTATCAAAAAATTTTTTGGTAATTGCAAATGAATTACTTTGTTGTAGGATAACATACTTATTAATTTTTGACTAGCATAATGCTTGTAAATTTTTCTATTTCAGCAATTGATTTCTGTTCGTTTAATGTTATAATAAGAGTGCAATGGAGTTTATAATATAAATGAGTCGATATAAGAATTGTTTGTATCTCCTTGTGTTTATTTTTTGTTAAGCACCATGTCGCAGATGCTGGAAAAAGTGATTTTTAATCTCCAGGTCGAAGGTAAAATTCCGGCACATAGCAGAACTTTTTTTAGTTATAACTTTTTTTTACTTTGAACCTACTTTAGCCTGGTTTTCGCTTGTGCTTGCAATGAAATTTTTTTATTTAATCTTATTTATTTTAAAGAAACTCTTCTTTATCAGAAGCCAAAATCTGTACCCTTTTATCACAGCAAAAAACGTGGAAGTTGATCTTGCAGCTCAAAAAAGCTTTTATTAGATAATTCGTGGAAACTCGTACGAGATTTTTTGGTGTTAACCTGATTCAAATAAAAAAAAATAAACTAAAATTTCCACCGTTGTTGTTGGTCGGGGAAAGGAAAATTTTAAGCTTAGTATTTTCACTTGTTTACATCAAAATGAATTAAAATAATTTGATACTTTTGTCAATTTTTTTTAAAATGAGCAGTAATTAAAAAATCATAATTTTCAGAATTTCAATGATTTCATTACTTCTGGTGAACAATTGTTTTTTTCTTTCCGCTTTTATACATAATGATTTCTAGTGAGTGTGATATAAAGAAAAACATGTGAAGCGTTTGTTTAGTCGGCTTGAACGCTTAGGAAGATAAAACCCGCAGAAAAATTGTTTTACTCATTGAGCTTTTTTATACTCAGAAAAATAGATGTTGCTGGGTTTTTTTAAGCGCGTTTGTTTTTATGTAGAGAAAAATAACCTTTCAAAATTTTTGCTTGACATCGCAATGGTAATTTAAACTTGTGAACAACAAAATCTAATTTATTTTCAGAAACTTTTTGTAAGTATTGATATGTTGATCGAAAATAAATAAATTTTCGTTTTTTAAACAAATTCTGGAAAAAAAGCATTTCGCCCATTTTTCATGTTTTGCGGCTTAATTTCTGATG